GCTATTAAAGACGTGGGACAGAAAGAGGTTAAAAAAAGTCGTGTTAGGTGAGGAAGTTTCAGTAGAGACCGGAAATGAAAGGGATAAACCTGATAGATTAGATAAACTGACACAGGGAATTATAATTGCTACAACCTTTCTGTAAAGCAATTTGGCTATCTCTATATAATGCATGGGAGTTCACCAGTATAAATAGGGGTTAATTGTGGGAAAAGAAGTGCTAAAGAGGGAACAACCAGTGCAATGAACCTGAAGCATGCTATAAAAAATAAATCACATGAAATAAATGAAGGCCTGAAATATCTTCTTTAATGAGACCACTAAGTGCTGTAAAGATTTTAATATTCATAAAATCAATGCATACATTCATCCCAATAATAAATTGATGTGTGGAGTTAAAAAGTACCCTCTATTGCCTCTCCCTACATGAGAAAAGAAAGATTCAAAACCTGTCAAAGTGAAAGAAACAAAAAAATTCTAGTAAAACAGGAAAAATAATTTTCCACAAGAAAATAAGGAGTACAACTAGAACAATTGTCTGTTAAATGCCATTATAAAAGTACTATAAGCAAAATAACAAGTTTGACAATAAAACAGAAATGCATATCAATATAAAAGTAAGGAACTTGGTAACAGGTAAGACTATATATAATTTAACACAAGGTGGTATCCCATATTCATGCAAAATAACAACTTTTTAAGAAAATTGGGTGACTATTAATGGAAAAAGAATAAGTTGGTGCTTCTCCTCATACCTTAAAACAAAATTAAATCCATTATGATTTGAAAGTTAAATATTAAAAATGAAACCACGAAATAATTAGAAAAATAAATATAAAATTTTATGATTCATATTTAATGAATAAAAATATTATAATATCAGCAAGTGAAATATAGCATAGAAAAGTTTAAAATATATATGTGAAAGTATAAAAAACTATTTTGAATACCTTTTATTAAGCAGGTACTAGAAGCTTTAATATATAGGTGGCTGACAATTCATTCTTTAAAAGGAAAAGAAAAAGACATTCTTATAAAAATAATATTTTGTATATATATATTTTATTGCATTTTAGGTTTTGGGGAACATGTGAAGAACATGCAAAATTGTTGCATAGGTAGATACATGGCAATGTCGTTTGCTGCCTTCTTCCCCATCACCTATATCTGGCATTTCTCCCCATGTTATCCCTCCCCAACTTTCCACACCCTGCTCTCCCTCCCCTAGTCCCTTCCACAGAACCCAGTGTGTGATGCTCCCCTCCCTGTATCCATGTGTTCTCATTGTTCAGCACCCACCTATGAGTGAGAACATGCTGTGTTTGATTTTCTGTTCTTGTATCAGTTTGCTGAGAATGATGGTTTCCAGGTTCATCCATGTCCCTACAAAGAACACAAAATCATTGTTTTTTATGGCTGCATCATATTCCATGGTGTACGTGTGCCACATTTCCCCTGTCCAGTCTATCATCAATGGGCGTTTGGGTTGGTTCCAAGTCTTTGCTATTGTAAACAGTGCCGCAATAAACATTTGTGTGTATGTGTCCTTATAATAGAACAATTTATAATCCTTGGTATATCTACCCAGTAATGGGATTGCTGGGTCAAATGGAATTTCTATTTCTAGGTCCTTAAGGAATTGCCACACTATCTTTCACAATGGTTGAACTCATTTACACTCCTACCAACAGTGTAAAAGTGTTCCTATTTCTCCACATCCTCTCCAGCATCTGTTGTCTCCAGATTTTTTAATTATTGCCATTCTTACTGGCATTAGATGGTATCTCAATGTAGTTTTGATTTGCATTTCTCTAATGACCAGTGATGATGAGCATTTTTTCATATGTTTGTTGGCCTCATTTATGTCTTCTTTTGTAAAGTGTCTGTTCATATCCTTTGCCCACATTTGAATGGGTTCATTTTTTTTTTTTCTTGTAAATCTGTTTTAGTTCTCTGTAGATTCTGGATATTAGCCCTTTGTCAGATGGGTAGATTGCAAAAATTTTGTCCCATTCTGTTGATTGTGAATTCACTCTAATGATTGTTTCTTTCACAGAAGTTCTGGAGTTTAATTAGGTCCCATTTGCCTGTTTTGGCTTTTGTTGCCAATGCTTTTGGTGCTTTGGTTATAAAGTCCTTGCCTATGCCTATGTCCTGAATGGTTTTGCCTAGGTTTTCTTCTAGGGTTTTTATGGTGTTAGGTCTTATGTTTAAGTCTTTAATCCATCTGGAGTTAATTTTAGTGTAAGGTGTCAGGAAGGGGTCCAGTTTCTGCTTTCTGCACATGGCCAGCCAGTTTTCCCAACACCACTTATTAAACAGGGAATCCTTTCCCCATTGCTTGTTTTTGTGAGGTTGTTCAAATATCAGATGGTTGTTAGATGTGTGGCATTGCCTCCGAGGCCTCTGTTCTGTTCCTTTGGTCTATATCTTTGTTTTGGTACCAGTCCCATGCTGTTTTGATTACTGTACCCTTGTAGTATAGTTTGAAGTCAGGTAGTGTGATGCCTCCAGCTTTGTTCTTTTTGCTTAGAATTGACTTGGCTGTGCAGGCTCTCTTTTGGTTCCATATGAAGTTTAAGGTGGTTTTTTTCTAGTTTAGATGCAAAAATCTTTAATAAAATACTGGCAAACCGATTGCAACAACACATCAAAAACTTATCTATCGGGATCAAGTAGGCTTCATCCCAGGGATGCAAGGCTGGTTCAACATTTGCAAATCTATAAATGTAATTCACCACATAAATAGAACCAAAGATAAAAACCACATGATTATCTCAATAGATGCAGAAAAGGCCTTTGACAAAATTCAACAGCTCTTTATGCTAAAAACTCTCAATAAACTAGGTATTGATGGAATGTATCTCAAAATAATAAAAGCTATTTATGACAAACCCACAGCCAATATCATACTGAATGGGAAAAAACTGGAAGCATTCCCTTTGAAATCCAGCACTAGACAAGGATACCCTCTCTCACCACTCCTATTCAACATAGTATTGGAAGTTCTAGCCAGAACAATCAGGCAAGAAAAGAAATAAATGTTATTCAGTTAGGAAAAGAGGAAGTCAAATTGTCTCTATTTGCAGACGACATGACTCTACATCTAGAAGACCCCATCGTCTCAGCCCAAAATCTCCTGAAACTTCAGCAAAGTAACTTCAGCAAAGTTTCAGGATACAAAATCAATGTGCAAAAATCACAAGCATTCCTATACACCAATAAAAGACTTAAAGAGAGCCAAATCATGAGCAAACTGCCATTCACAATTGTTTCAAAGAGAATAAAATACCTAGGATTACAACTAACAAAGAATGTAAAGAACCTCTTCAAGGAGAACCACAAACCACTGCTCAACAAAAGAAGAGAGGACACAAACAGATGGAGAAACATTCTATGCTCATGGTTAGGAAGAATCAATATCATGAAAATGGCCATACTGCCCAAAGTAATTTATAGATTCAACACTATCCCCATGAAGCTACCAATGACCCTCTTCACAGAACTGGTAAAAATAATTTCAACACTTACATCCAACTCTCAAAAGAAATATAATTCACCAAAAGTAATCTACAAAAAATATTCAAATAAAATAAAATGCAAGTAAGGTATACCTTTTGCAAACTCATAAACTCTATATAAATTAAAATTAAAAACTAGCTACTGTTAGCAATAGTTCATGATGAATTAGATAAACTATTGGAAGCATTGTTATAACCTTTTTATAATGTAATTTGTCCATCTCTACATAAAGAATGTTTTGTAACATTCCTTTTGCCCCTCAAATAATACTTTTAGGAATTTCTAAGTGGATTACAAAGAAGAATGCATAGATTTGTATGTATGTTTGATCATTAGTTAATTATTTAAAACATGAATGCCAAAAAGTGAATAATTATATGAATCATAGTTTAGACACATAAAGGGCTATTATGCAGACATTAAAGTTGTATTTTTGTTAAGTAGTAAAATGAAAATTTTTCAGATTAAATTATTTATATAATGATTTCATTTAATTTTCACAAGAGCATATTCTGTATTCCTATGTTCTTAGTGAAAAAGGTGATGTTTAGATAAGGCAAATAGTTTTCCCAAATCACACAAGCAAATTAGTAGGAAGTCTAGATCAGACCGAATGTTAAATATATGTTTATAAATGTATTCCTCTATTTCTTATAACAATATTTTATTTAAGGAGAAAAATTAGATCTACTAATATATAAAGAGCAGCCAGATGTAGGTACATGTGATGTTTATGTGTTTATACATGTATGTGTTTCCATTCTTTTACATCATTGATATCAGAATCATACTCTAAATATTATTGCATCATTTCATAAGTACCTTTGTGTATTATATATTAAAGGAATGGAAATTAAAAGAAAGTTACAGCGATTAAACATAGCTGATTTTCTTCTTGTTGTTTTTAATCACCCTAACCTAAAATTGTTAAATTGTTCAAAAGAATTACAACAAATGTAACACATTATTGTTCAATATACACAAACGAATTTTTCTAGTTCTTTTTTTAATAGAAAGTCTTTCCAGAATACTGAGTGAGACTATATACCCCACTACCTCATTTTTTGTAGACATACCTGTATGTTATCACTTACAGCATATTTTAAAATGTGTTCAAAAATCTTATTCCTCCTCTAATTCTAGACTGCTTTAGAGTAGTTTCCATAATATTCTGCTTTTCCTTCACTTTAACTCCCTACTAGCAGGTAAGTGGTATTCAGTAAATACTAATCAAACATTACCTTTCCAAAGTGTCTTCAATTTGCATATATATTTAGGTTTGATTATATGATGTTAACAATATTTGAGAATTTTTACTTCTCAAATAAAAATAAAAATTATTAAAGTAACAATTTCATATTGATCTAATTAAAATACTACATTAAGTAAAATATTCATTTATGTTAATTTCCTGTATAACTAACTTTGTATATACTAAATACAAATTTTAATTTTACTACAAAAATTAATAAGCGAAGGTTCAGTTTGGCAACACATAATAAATTGGGAATGATACAGAAAAGGTAAGCATGGCCCCTGGGCAAGGATGACATGCATATTTACAAAATGTTTCATATTTAAATATAAATAAATAAATGAGTTAATGAGTGCTCTATTAGTCCCTTATAATATCTTTAGTCATGATAGAATTGAACCATAAATTTGCATAAGCCGAATCTCAAAGTTGGTGTTAAATGACCACAATAGCAAAGATTTCCAAAAATTTAAAAAAGCTCTGTTGAATTTTTATATTTATAGGAGTATGCTCTAATTATGATACTAATAACATTTATTCATTTAAAAATATGCAACACATTTTCCTTTAAACAGTGAAGGGAAATAGAAATAAAATTTAGGCCTATTAGAGAATTGTATATATTTAATAATTAAGACAGATGATTAATGATTATGATACAATATACAGCACAGGCTGATGTAAAGTAATGGATAATATTTGTTAAAATAATTGTATGCAGGTGCATGAAAATGTAAATGAAGTCCACCTATTTTGTACACAATGAAATCAAAGAAATTAAATCTTTGAAAATAATTATGTTTTATTCAGTTCATATGAAACTTTATTGTTATTTGTTAGAGCGAAACTTCCACATGTAAATATAAATTGCCATAAATATAGATTTTATTTTTAAGGAGACATTTGATAATGCGTAATACAGAAGACAGCATTCTCTGATCATATACAAATATTCTAGTAGAAGTAGAATGAAAATAGATTTTTGTAAAATATTCTCTCTTTTTTTTGATGAGTTAAAACTATCATTAAAGATTCTGAATCACTGAAGGAGTTTGTATAAATTCATACACCAAGAGTTCTATCCTCTCACCAGGGATGTGTTAGAATGCACGAATAAAATTAGGATAAAGTCATATATTTTATAAAATCACCTTCCGTGATTCACTATGACCTAGCAAATTCCCAGTTACAACTAATCAGATTACTGGAAAGCAGTATAGAGACTGTTCTTGAATGACACCAATAGGCATTAGATTGTGTATGTGTGTATGTTTTAAGTGTACAATGAATTGTTTTATATATATATATTTGTAGTGTTGTGTAACAATAAACATAATCAAATATAGAATATTTCCATTACTTCTCCAAGAAACTCCATACACATTGCAAGTTGGGTGCCATTTTTCTCCTCAACCCTAAGCCTAGGCAACCACTAATCAAATTTTTGTCTTTATATATTTGTCAATTATGGACATTTTATGTAAATGGAAACAGATACTATTTAGACTTTTGTGACTATTTTCTTTCATTTATTATATTTTCAAAATATACCCATGTTAATGACCAGTACTTAATTCCTTTTTATTATCATATAATATTAGATCATAGAAGTGACCTCATTTTGTTTATCTATTAATCATTTAATGGACAATTGTATTGTTTTCATGTTTTTACTATTATGAATAATACCATGAGGAACTTTGTGTATACATTTTTGTCTGGATATATATTTTTATTTTTATTTGGTATATACAGATGAGTCAAATTGTCATATAATATGGTAACTCTGTAATTAACCTTTTGCAAAATGCCCAGGTTTCTAAAGCGGCTGCACACTTCACATTCCCACAAGCAGTGTATGAGGTCTCCAATTTATTTGCACCCTCGTTAACACTTGTTATTATTATATCTGTGTTTTTTTATTATGGCCACCCTGGTGTGATGACTAATGATATTGAATATATTTTTATGTTTTTAATTAGCAATTTGCTTATCTTTTTTAGTGAAAGTCTATTCAAATCCATGTCCATTTTGGTTTTTATGCACTTCATTATTGAAATGTATGAATATTTATATATTCTATATATGGATCAATTTTCAGATACATGATTTTTTTTGCTTTATGTATTTTTGGTATATCAAAAAATGTGTTACCTAATCCAAGGTGACAAAGATTTTCTCATAGAATTTTTTCTAAAAGTTTTATAGTATTAACTGTTACAATGTGGTTTATGATCCATTTTGAGTTAAATTTTAGTGTGGTATGAGGAAGGAGTTCACATTTGCTTATTTATATATTTTTCACATGTATGTTCAGTTGACTCAGCACCATTTGTTGAAGTGACCGTTCTTTCCCCATTGAATTGTCGTGACATCACTGTAAAAACTAATTGATCCTAAACTGTAGAGGTTTATTTCTGGACATTGAATTCTATTCAGTCAATCTCTACATATATCTATATGGCAGTACAAATTGTCTTGATTATGGTAGTTTTTTGGGGGGATGGGATTTGTTTTTTGTTATTTGTTTTTTCCTCTTAACTCAGCATCCTGAGTAGCTGGGATTACAGGAGCTTGCCACCACTACTGACTAATTTTTGTGTTTTTAGTAGAGATGGGAATTCACCATGATGGCCAGGCTGGTTTTGATTTTTTGACCTCAAGTGATCTGCCTGCTTTGGCCTTCAAAGTATTGGGATTATAGGCATAAACCACCAACCCCAGCCTATGATCGTTCTGTAATAAATTTTGAAACATGAAATTGTGAGCTTTCTAACTTCTATTTTTAAGGTTATTTTAGAGCTATTTTGAGTCTCTTCAATTTCTATATTAATTTTAGAAAAGGGTTGTCACCTTCTGAGACAAAAAAAAGCCATCTCTCCAGCTATGATATGAATATGTATATACAGAATTTGTGGATTAATTTGGGGAATATTGCCACTTTTAAAACATTGAGTTTTCTGGAATAAGAACATGGGAAACCTTTCCACTTACTTGTGTCTTTAATTTCTTGAAGTAATATTTTATTGTTTTTTGAGTATGTGTTTTGCTCTTCTATTAAGAAATTTATTCCAAAGTATTTTATTCATCTGGATACCATTATAAATGAAATGTCATTAATTTTATTTTTGAATATTTTATTTTAATTTAATGCCCCTACTTTTGGATCATGGTCCCAACAGACTTCTGGTTTTGGGACCCAGAGTAGCAGATGCTTTGGTTTTGGATCAGGAACAGAAGGATTCAGCTTTGGATCAAATTACTCATCTGTCCAGGGTTTTAGCGGCTGGCAAAGTTGAGTGGGTGTCAGCAGGCCTTTCCGTCCCTGGGACCAACTGCATCCTCCGCTTCTTCACTGAGAAATGCTGGAGCAGGCTGTTCAGATGGATGTTGCCATCAAAACATATACACCCAGAAAGAAACAACAGAAACCAAAACTCAAGAGATGAGTGATTATTTGTTTTATATTTCGTGTTGGGTTCCCCACGCCATTATTAAACTGTTGATCTCTTTCCAGAAAAAGAAAAAAGTTACAGAAATAAGTTATTTTGGTTATTGATCTTGTATTCTAAAACCTTGCTGAAAATACCAATCATCTAGTAGATTTCATAGAATTTTCTATATTCAATATCATACTATCTGCAAATAGACACAATTTTACTTCAGCCTCTCCATTCTATGCATTTTATGTATTGTCTTGCCTAATTGCCCCGGCCAGAACCCTCAGTATATACTGAGTGAAAATGGCAAGACTGGATATGCTTGGTTTATGCATGATCCCATAGTGAAAGCTTTTAGTTGTTTGACAATCTCATGAAGATAGAGTATAAAGTGGTGGGTATTGGAGACTGTAAAGGTTAGCAGGGAGGAAAGGTTGTAGAGAGGTTGATTAATGGGTAGGAAAACAAAGATATTGTGGATTTGATTTTAGGCAATTGCAATAAAGTGAATATTATAATAGAGTCACACAAATTATTTGGTTTAATACTGTACATAAAAGTTATATACTGTAGTTAATTGAATGTGTAATTGCACTATGTATATAAAACATATCTATCTTAATTTAAATATATTTTATTGCTAAGATTTTTAGTGATCATCTCAGCTGATGAAAAGTATTGCCTCAATGTTCATGGCTGCTGACTGGTAAAAGAATGACTGCTAAAGGTGGGGTGGCTGTAGCAATTTTTAGGATAAACCAAAACTAAGTATGCTGAATTGATTGACTCTCACTTTCATGAAAGATTTCTCCATAGCATATGACACCATTTGATAGTGTTTTACCCAGCATAGAACTTCTTTAACAAGTAAGTTTATGTAGTGTTCTAATTCCCTTGTAAGAAAACCTAGGCAAAACCATTCAGGACATAGGCATAGGCAAGGACTTCATGACTAAAACACCAAAAGCATTGGCAACAAAAGCCAAAATAGACAAATGGGATCTAATTAAATGCCAAAGCTTCTGCACAGCAAAACAAACAATCATTAGAGTGAACTAGCAACCAACAGAATGGGAAAAAATTTTTGCAATCTACTCATCTAACAAAGAGCTAATATTCAGAATCTACAAAGAACTAAAACAGATTTACAAGAAAAAAAATAAATAAGTCCATTCAAAAATGGGCAAAGGATATGAACAGACACTTTTCAAAAGAAGACATATATGAGGCCAACAAACATATGAAAAAATGCTCATCATCACTGGTCATTAGAGAAATGCAAATCAAAACTACATTGAGATACCATCTAATGCCAGTTAGAATGGCAATCATTAAAAAATCAGGAGACAACAGATGCTAGAGAGAATGTGGAGAAATAGAAACACTTTTACACTGTTGGTGGGACTGTAAATGAGTTCAACCATTGTGGAAGACAGTGTGGCAGTTCCTCAAGGATCTAGAAATAGAAATTTTATTTGACCCAGCAATCCCATTACTGGGTATATAGCCAAATGAATTATAAATTGTTTTATTATAAGGACACATGCACACATATGTCCATGGCAGCACTGTTTACAATAGAAAAGACTTGGAACCAACCCAAATGCCCAATCAATGATAGACTGAACAGGGAAATGTGGCACATATACACCATGGAAAACTATGCAGCCACAAAAAACGATGAGTTTGTGTCGTTTGTAGGGTCGTGGATGAACCTGGAAACCATCATTCTCTGCAAACTGACACAAGAACAGAAAATCAAACACCACATGTTCTCACTCATAGGTGGGTGTTGAACAATGAGAACACATGGATACAGAGAGGGGAGCATCACACACTGAGGACTGTGGGGGGGACTAAGGGAGGGACAGTGGAGGGTAGGAAGT